TTTTATAACCAAATTAAGCCTTTATAAACCAAAGTATACATTGTATGTGATGAATTAATCTCTCTTTTAGGAATTTACAGTGAAATTATTTATGTAGCATCCTCACAAGAATTGAGAAAATAGTCACTTAAATCATTTTCTGTGTGTTTGGTTGAGACAGACAACATGACTTTACTAATGTGCTATATTAAGATATCATTACCAGGTATGGCTCTAGGTTTCAGGACTTGCAATTTGAAATCTTTATTCAATTTTAAAGGCTAGTTAGACATCATCTCCTCTGGAAGCCCTTTAACTGACTTGGTTGACACTCATTGCCATTCTGTACAAATACCTATTGTTGCACTCGGTATTAATTTATTTCTTTGTTTTTTAATCTTAATTGAATTGCTGCATATGTCTTAAAAGGAAGATGAACTAAATAGTGAGGAAGTACTGAAAAGGAATTGATGAGATTGAGAGGTCTCCATAGAAAAATGTGATAGAATTTTAAGAGGCAGAAATAAAGGTATGGGGAGCAGGCAGAAATAGGAAAAAAGGAAGGAGAGACAATTCAGGTGTTGTCAGTGATGAACATATTTATTCAAGTTTTAAATCTTGTACCACACCAACATTCCTGGTCCTCTTCACTTCCACCACCCTCTTGGCTTAAACCATCTTTAACCATTATTCCTATCCACTTTTTCTTTGCTATAAACCCTACAAGTTAGTTCAACTTTTTGAACTTGAGTGAAGAGTGACAAAAAAGTGTTAAGTGTTTGCACTAATGATAGAAAGGCAAATCACTTACAGTAATACTAAATTTTTCTAGAATTTAATAAATTTTCCTGTTAGGCTAAAAGATCTTTTTATATAAAATAAATACATTATATTAACATAAATTACAAATGTTCATTTCTCAAACTGCAAAAGTTCTGTTCAATTCTAAACTTAAACAGAAAATGTATCCTAACAGTCTTCAGAAAAATCCAAAATGAAAAAACTTTTTTTTTCATTAAGTGTAAATTGAGATGGAAAAAAACCTTGAAGAGCAACATCTCATCATGGCAAACGTTTGTTAAATTCAAAATAAATAAGGTTTGAATATTTTTGTTACATTTTAAAATTTTACTGTTCCACACTTTCTTTTGGACTTGAACAAGTTACTCAGTTTAAGTTTCACATGCTATCTCATCCAATTTTTTCAGATATCTCATATCCTCAATTATGGCTATCAAAACTTTTGATGAAAGAACTACTTTAAAGTTTTGATCAATTCTTCTTTGACAAATTTTACAGTAAAAGAATATGGCATCTTATTTGTATTTTGGAAAGGAAATGTCTTTTAAAGAAGGATGCTATAGAAATATAAAGGAAAGGCTTTTAAAAGTGTTTAGTCTTTACAGTATAGCAAAATATTTACAAAAGTTTTCTTACATTATGAGACTCTTGGCTTAAACAAAGAATATTTCTTGCACAACTTGACTTCAAAATTAAATATTCTTAAATACAAAGAATGAAAAGTGACTCCTTGATTTGTTATACCTAAGAGTTAAAAAAAAAAAGTCCTAGCAGCTTAAGCATTCAAAGTATTCAAGGAATCAGAATCAGATACAGAAGCAGGAAGGGACCTTTGAGCAGTGTAGCTCTCTCATTTAACAGCCAAAGAGCCAGAAACTTAGAAAGGTCAAATGATTGTATATTAAGTGCCTCTGATTCTCTGCCTGTGCTCTTTTTACAACATTTTCATAAGTTTATTTTGAATTGGGCACACACACAAAAAGTCATATTTCTTGCCTCCTCAAAGCCACAGTTGTAGCAGAAATTTAGTCAAGACCTCAGAAGTTACCCAAATCCTTAAACTTCTAATGGTTAACTAACAGAATACAACTCCCTCTCAAACCAATCAAAATTAGTTACATAACTAAATGATTTATACCATTACTGTAGTGATTAATAAAAACACCAACTTTATATGCTAGCTGGCTGTTTACCTGGTTTATTGATGTGATTAAAATTTGAATAGTAATGGAATACATAATGAGATTTACTAAATTTCAAATCAATTGTGTTATTATACCCCCTAAAAACTCCATACAAGAAACAAGTTGATTCAGACTTCACTTTCAGAAGTGTACAAATCTCATATTAAAGTAACAGTTTGTTCTCAGTCTGTTAAATACAAAAGCACCTATTAAATATATTCAATTCCCTGGATTTATTTCTTTGTAAGTAGCTACTACATATTTTTAATTAACCTGAAAAATTTTTCAAGGTATCTAATTTCACTTTGGTACCTTAATTAAATAGTTTGAAAAATCCAGCATTCAATAATCTTCTTCCCTGCTGAAACAAACAGCTCCTCTGCTAGTGCTCTTCCTCAGTAGAAACCTCTAACAAAGTTCAGGTTTATTGATATGATTCATTCATCAGCAAACATGTGAATATCTACTAAGGGTCAAACATTGTGTTAAGAGTTAGCTGATAACAACAAAAAGCTTCATTTAAAAAATAGTAATCTATCCATTTTTAAGGACCAATAACTCCCACATGAAAAAAACAAATGAACAATTAAGTGAATAAGTCAAGTGAATAACATTAATATGTGGAAAAATAGTCTGATGTAGGATACATTTTAATTCTTTGTTTGAGAAAATGCCATTCAAAATGAAAGTGGAAGTAAAAAAGTTCAGGGCATATAACTGCTTATACTTCATTATTTAATAGTGACTAAAGAGGAGATTATCAATTTAAAAGTAGATTACTAAGAAACCATACAAATTTTTTCTCTCCAATGAGAATATAAGTTTATTAAATACTCCTTTTTTTCATTACTGTTTACTCAAAATTTCCTGCTATCTTTTACATGAACACACACATACTACCTATTTTCTATACCAATGCCAAATAAAGAAATTCAGTCCTTTAAAATTTTCATTTTCTTGATTATAAGTAATGCTTGTACTTTTTGTTTCAGTTGACTATAGATAAATTTCCCAGTCAAAACAATAATAGAGTACCTTTCAAAAGAGATTCATCAACAAACAAAAGTTGCTGAGCAAGGAGTGTAGTTCAAAATAAAAAAAGTGCAAAATCAGCATAAAATGTTAGTGCAACATATTATTTTTAACTTTTTCACGTTATTTTTAAATTAGCTAAGTAATTTAGAAAGAAAAATAAATTGCTCTTAAATCTCTAAATCTTAATTGATAATGGAAAGGAAGAATTTCAGCCCAAATTGAACCAAACTAGACAATAAGAACAGTAAAACACAACTGGATATAGCCTTTTATGAAAAAAGGTAATTTAAAATAAGAAAAACATGTGTGTCCAGAGGATGTGATATCTTCAGTTCTTGAGGAAATAACATCTACATTCAACTACCCTCATCACATACCTTCTTCTTCCAATTTCTTTGGGCTCTAAGAAATGAGTATACTTTAAATATAAATATACAGAGAAACCACTCACAGGAACTTTTAAATGAAGACAAATTTGAACCATATTTTAAAATATGGTTAATATCAAATTAAGAGGGTAAGAGGAGGACTGAGGGAATGAAAATAAAATGTTTGAAAATATGCAATTTAATTCTGTGCATAGGATTAATATGCACACCAAACATACACATTTCTGAACTTATTGAAAGTGATCATTTAAAAATAGAAAGTGTTCTAAAATATTAATTCAATTTTATAGGAAAGAGAAAAGAATGTTAGAAAACTTTTTATCAAAAACTAAAGACACTGGGATTGAAACCATTCACAATCATACCAATTAAATTAAATCTTAAGGAATAATTATGGAAAACAGAGGCTAAGAGTGGCAAAACTACCATTGGTCCTCTCAATCAAATCCTTTTTACATCCAAAGATTTGATTTCTCTCTTTCAGTCATTAAACAATTTTTTAAAAATGCTTTATTATCACTAATAATTTCAATTTAAAAATTCACTCATACACATTTTATTTCTAAAAAAAATTGTCAAAAAAAATGTCATATCCTAAACATAAAAGCAAACACGGAAGAGAGTGTACAGGCTTAAAACCAATTTTTTTCTCTCTCAATTATTACTACCAGAAGAAAGAACAAAAGGACAAGAAAATTCCTTGAGAGATAGATGGCCATTATCCCAGCTAGCATTTCTGCATAAGAAGAGCTAATGGCGAGATGTCTCAGCTAAACAGTGACATTTGCAAGCCTCTTAGATATATCCTCAGCAGACACATTATCAGATTAAAGAACTGCAAACAAGCTGGGCTGAAACCTTTCTTTGTCCAAGCCCAGCCTCTTCTTCCTGATGTCATTACAAACCGAGCAAGCCTTTCTTTCGCCCTTCAGACAAAGTCCATTATTCAATACAGCTGGCAACGGAGGAAAACTCGTTCAGCAAGAGCTAACATGCTTAGGAATTTCTTTCGGAACACTTAAAAGACTTCTGCTTACCACCATCAGGGATCCACTACCTACCGGAAATGAAAACTTCATTTTTAAAAAAGTAAGAAGTAACTTAGACCAAATTGGGAATGTTTAAGTTTCTGAAAGTCTGCACTGAAAAGCAAAATAAAATTGCTATCTTTAGCTTAAACATTCTGGAGCATAAAGAAACTTTGATCTTGGAATATCATCCTGACTACTGAAATACAAGTTTACCAGACGAGTATATTTATTCCATCTCAGAACACAGCGTTTCGTTACAATTTATAATCCAATGGTTTGGCTTCACTGACTACATTTTTTAAAGGTTGCTTGTTGGTTAACAAGCCCTGGATTCACAGATTTTCTGGAGACTAGAAAATAAGACTGTTTTCCTGCTGAAGAACCAAGTGGAAACTTTACAGCAACAAATTTTATGTTTCTTTTGGAAATTGTGGAGAGAAATGAAATATTTATAAAAACATCCAAAGACCCAAAGAATTTACAAATATACTGGAGGTTTTAAAGTGGTCACAATCTGAATACCAAAGGAGGCTGCTGCTGACCAAAGGACGTCAACACAGTAAACCGAACGTGCCTTTATAATGGTAAGCAATAACAGCTCCCAATGCTCCTATGATGACTCCTTTAAATACACTTTGTATGGGTGCATGTTTAGTATGGTGTTTGTGCTTGGGTTAATATCCAACTGTGTTGCCATATACATTTTCACCTGCACTCTCAAGGTGCGAAATGAAACTACAACGTACATGATTAACTTGGCAATATCAGACTTGCTTTTCGTTTTCACTCTACCCTTCAGGATTTTTTACTTTACAGCACGGAACTGGACATTCGGAGATTTACTTTGTAAAATTTCAGTGATGCTGTTTTATACCAATATGTACGGAAGCATTCTGTTCTTAACCTGTATTAGCGTAGATCGATTTCTGGCGATTGTCTACCCATTTAAGTCCAAGACTCTAAGAACCAAACGAAATGCAAAAATCGTTTGCACTGCTGTGTGGTTCACTGTGGTCGGAGGAAGTGCACCAGCAGGCTTTTTTCAGTCTACCCACTCTCGGGGTAACAATACCCCAGAAGCCTGCTTTGAAAATTTTCCCGAAACCACATGGAAAACCTATCTCTCAAGGATTGTAATTTTCATTGAAATAGTGGGATTTTTTATTCCTCTAATTTTAAATGTAACTTGTTCTAGTCTGGTGCTAAGAACTTTAAATAAACCTGTCACATTAAGTAGAAGCAAAATAAACAAAACTAAAGTTTTAAAAATGATTTTTGTACATTTGGTGATATTCTGTTTCTGTTTTGTCCCTTATAATATCAACCTTATTTTATATTCTCTTATGAGAACACAGACATTTGTCAATTGCTCGGCAGTGGCAGCAGTAAGGACCATGTACCCAATCACTCTCTGCATTGCTGTTACAAACTGCTGCTTTGACCCAATAGTTTACTACTTCACGTCGGACACAATTCAGAATTCAATAAAAATGAAAAACTGGTCTGCTAGGAGAAATGACTCCAGATTCTCTGATGTTCAAGGCACAGAGAACTTTATCCAACATAACCTACAGACCTTAAAAACTAAGATATTTGACAATGAATCTGCAATATAAGCTGCCTGAAATAAAACCACTGGAACTTCACTGGGAACAGAACCTCCAAGTTGCTTCAACTGTGAAAAGTTTTCTTGAACAACTATTTCTCTACCTTTGAAAGAAAATTAGCATGTGGACAATTTTAAAGTTTTTAGGATTAAAAAAAGCTGTATTCAATGTGTTAAGAATTCAAATGTACCCTATTCTTGTATACACTCCATTTTATTTTTCTTAGCGATTTTGACTTGTACATTTTTCTTCATTAAAAAATTCCTAAAAAAGTCAAAGTCTAAAAGTCATTTTGATTTAAATCATGTGATGACCATCTGTACTGTCTTTGAAGTTCTTAGTAATTTTATACTAAATGATTTACAAACATTAAATGTCTTCAGTAATATTTTTATTCAACATATATCTAATTTCTATTTCATTTGAATTGAGACTACTGTCATGTTTCCTATGCTATAATAACATAAATGAAAACAGAGTAATATGAAAAAAATCAATAAGTGCTTTTGGAGGATTTTTAAAAAAAAATAGCTAAAAGTGTCTTCTGTAGAAGAATGACATACACAATCAGAGGATCTTGAGCAGTTACACTTACAGATAATATTAATAATTTTATATCTGTATGCAATTCATAAAAAGCAGATGTTATCTAACTAATATCACATGCTTTAAAGTTACTATTTGATCCATTTTCTGGCTTTAGCAGCACCCAATTTCATAATGATATACACTACAAAAATTGAGAAGAAGAAAACTAACTGTTATTTTGCTAAGTAAATGTTTAAAAAATAAAATACCACTAAAAGTACACTGTAAAGGTATATTTATATCACACTAAATAACTTATATTTTAAGTATTTTAGGTTATAGAAACACCATAAATAGTGAGACAGTAAAATACAATACTTAGCACTTAGTAATTAATGTATATATTACTTCCCTCCCATCTTTGACCATTTAAAGCCAAATAATGAAGAGCTGAAAATACTATTTCCAGTAATCAAAATGTTACTGAAGAGTTGAAATAATTTATGAATTAAGGATATAGTTTCTTACATAACTGGTAAAACTACAGGGCCAAATAACTAAATACAGCTACATTTTCATTTCATTAAATATAAAAAAAATTGCTTTGAGCTATAATATAGATATGATGTATCAACTACAGTGAAACTTTTTCCTTTCCCAACATATCTTTATTTTCAAATTCAAGCAGTTCTCCAAAGTTAACTAAAAAAAATATTTTATTTGAGAAAAAAAACATATAATTAATTTCAATTCAGCTTTCAACCTATCTGATTTTTACATATTACTCTTTCAAGTCCTGAATAACAACTTTGGACAAATACTCTTAGGATTTAAGTTTGATTTTTGCTGTTCTCTGGGTTTGCACTGCAATGATTTCAGAGGAATCATAGTCATTTGCAAGAGGGAAAGTCCATTTTCAATAAAGTAACAGTGATATTTTCTTTAGGGATCCATTGTTTCTTTTAGACAAACCTAAAGCTAAATAAATCCTTTAAAAAAAAAAACTAGTGGAGATATTAAACATGGTCCTTTATATCCCAAGAGAAGTACACATGCTATAAACATGTTTTCTTTAATTGACTCCTAAGTACTTTTATTTGATATCACTTTTTGGAAAACAAATACATTTAGCACTCAAAACATACAGGGTAGGGCAAAAGTTGGTTTACAGTTGTGAGTACCCAAAACACAGGTTATTCTTACGTTATTATTTACTATTATATTTCATACAAACAACCGTAAACTTACTTTTACCCCTACCCTGTGTATTTTTGAGTTGAAAAGCAAGTAACAATTTACTGATGTGGAGGAAAGGGTGGGAGTTTGTTAAACAGATTTTTCAGAACTTTCTTTGGCATAAAGATCTGTGAGCAAGCTCTCGTAAGCATGGATATTACTTTAAAATACAAGAAAGACAAATCATCCAATAGTTGTTATTACTGCTCTCACTTGTGAAGTTTTTGTTGCCCTCTGGTCAATAGGAAGATGAATCAAAAGTTTTGTAAGATTCCTCACAAAGAAATATGTAACAGATAACAAATACTAGTTTTCACAGTTAGAACTTCAAATCCTGGGCAAATCTTACCTAGAGGGACAGAAGGAATACTAAAGTTATTTTCCTTTGCTAGAGTAGCACTTTACGGTAAATTCTATACCATATTCCTAGAGGTTTTTTTTTTTTTATTTCTCCTTTAGTAAGAAAACCTATATTAATAAAACTCTAAGAATTTTACTTTTTGTTACCTTAAAGTGACAGTAACAAACGGTGACCACTGTTTTCAACATCTTTATAAAAGATGATGATTTAACTAACCTTCATTTCTACATTAACTCCCTTCAAAGGAACAGAAGTAAGGTGAGAAGATTTCTGAGGTGTGGAAAATACCTTCCTAGAATTCCTAGTAATTATTTCTGAATTTAGAAATTATCTTTTCTGAGCAAATACCAAGTAACTACTTTACCAAAAGAATGTATGAAAATAAATGCATTTTACATCATATAGCCACAGAAAATTTAAAGACACTGAAGATACTAGGTTATCAAAGAGTTCTAACTTTAAATTCTACATTCAAAATACTAAAAGCAAATTTGAGGTATAATTCTTAATTACAAATTAGATATTTAAAGAAATTAGTCACTCAGCTCTGGCCAGGTGGTTCAGTTGGTTGGAGCATCATCCCCTACTCCAAAAGGTTGTGGGTTGGCCCAGCCAGGGCACATACCTAGGTTGTCTGTTTGATCCCTGACTGACCGTGCATACAAGGTGAGCAGGAAGGGGTTGTGGCCAATCAATCTCTCCTCTCTCTCTCTCTCTCTCTCTTTCCCTTCCTCTCCCCCTAAAATCAATAAACATATCCTCAGGTGGGAGGGGGAGGAAAGATAGAGAAAAGGAAGGGAGGAAGAAAGGAAGTTGATGAATAGAAAATACAAAAATGGAACATTAGCTGAGAAACAATTTATGAATGGTATGTAACTAGCAAGGGATTGAAACAACTACCTTTTGGTCCTGCAATTCTGGACCCCTGATGAACCAGGAACCTGGTCTTTTGTCAGTATATTAAGTTAGTATTGTATAACATCTTTACTACCTCCCAACACCCAAACTATTTTAGTGCCTACATGCCAATCATACCTGATGTCATAAATGAAGAAAAATGTGACATTTTTTTCTCATTGTGAAGGAATTTTTATGTAGAAAATTTTATAGACAGTACTTACTAGTAGATGAAGGTGATCCTAAGGTAAATTGTTTTTAAAAAGCTTTTTTTGGTTGGCTTAGAAACCAATTTATCCATATATAACATGACTTCTAAGAAATAATTTCTAAATTAAAAGGGACTAGTGGATAAACTTAAGGTCACAGAACATGTTTAAATCAACCCAAGAATTAATGATCAACAATATTTAATTAGCAAAATTTTCCAGAGATCAACATATACGTAATCCTAAAACCACGAATTCTCAAATTTCTATTATATCTCTTTATCTTTTTTACCTATTGTCTGCTACCCATTTCTGACAGTCAATTTTATAAAAGTACAAAGAATATCACTTAAACAGGGCAATAGACCTTGATAATAAAAGAATACAAAATTAACTCCAGGCAAACTTTTCTACCAAGCTTTCCCTCTCCCAAAAAGATTACTCCAATAACTGCTTCAAAGGGTACAAAATTCTTTCTTTCGTAACTTTGTGCAATGACAATGGCAAAAACAGAATCCAAGAGACAGGACCACAGAAGTAAAGATAATCCATGAATATAATAATTAGTTTTCAAACTCAAAGCTTGCTTTACTCATATAGATTCAGGTCAGGAATTTTTGAAAATAATGAAAACTTAAGAAAATGTATTAAGAATGAAAAACAGTATGTATTATATACTCATAGCCAAGTAATAGTTAATATCTATGGGGTGAATGTGCTGAGTTTCATTATCTTCCTGTCAAAATGGCTTCTGGTAAATTCACAGTTTGCTTGCTTATTTATTTATTTATTTATTTACTTGACTAAATAAAACTTTTAAAAAAGTTTAATCTAATTAACTCTAATTTAGTCTTATTTTTAAATTTTATTTTATTTTTTTCAACCTTCTGCATTAATTTGTTGTGGGGGTTTATTTTTATTATTCACACACAGAGTGGCTACATTTATTTTCCTGGGTGAGGAGACTATTTAAGTCTCCTGAACAAAGTACTAAGGAAGAGTGAAGCCATGCTGGGAGTGGGGGTGATGTGTGGGGAATGAAAGCTTGGAAGTCAGCAGCTCGCCCAGGTATGGCTTGCCAAGAGATTGATTCAGTCCATAAGAAAACAGTACATGCCACCTTGCTTTTATGAGGCTGTCAGGCCATTGTAAGTCTAAGAGTTGGCCTTGGTTTTTCAGTTTCAAAGTGACTACATTTCTAAGTAGAAATCTGTAAGGGCATAAAGCTTGTCTTTTATCTCAAGCCTCAGCCAGTGAGTTGCAAACCTCTCTCAAGACTCTCTCAGCAACCTGCTATGACTGTATGAGTCTGGGGAAGAAGTTTACATATATTGTTTTATCTAATTCCTATTTTTCCTACTAAAGTTCCTCAGATTTTACTTTGTTGCACTGGCAATAAGAAAGATTCTAAGTCTTTCTTATATTTCTGAAAGGGAATCTTTTGGATATGCTGATAACAGCTAGCCAGCTTGCTAATATGTTAGCTTTTCTTCTAATTAGCACATAATCTCAGCTGTGAATTTAGATTTCCCAACAAGGAAGAGAGCCAAGTGTCAGCACAGAGCATTCATGAAAGTTGGCTTAAGATGAACCTACACAGCTCCTTGATACCAATACCAGAACTCTTCTGGGTAGAGCAATATGGGAACGTGCCTACAGAGAAAGGCATATTTTTAAAAAGTGTCTGGGTTCATTTATTAGAAATTAATATGCCTCTAGGGGGACTAGTTTGTGACAAGTTGTATCATTTGTAGGGGCTGGTTGGGGGTCCATATCCC